TGTATAATGCAACTGCATGCACCTTCTACACTGGTAGTCTTTAGTGAAACATGATGTACTGTACATTACATGTACATTTTTACTACTGTACTATACATACTTCTAAAATAAGTAAATATAAAGTGTAGAGTTCAGCATACCCAGGTGAAAAAGACGTAGTATTAAATGTATTAAAAATATACTTGAAATTCAAGTAATATGTTTATAATACATTTGTATTCCCAACATGCTTATTTGAAGTGCAATAAAAATATACTGAATTGCATTTTAATATATTTCTAAAAAGTATACTAGAAGTACTTTTGTATTAAATATATGCTTAGGTATACTTCTAAGAAATATGCTAAACAGAAGCATACTTTTAATGTGTTTATAAAAAGTATACTAGAAATACTTTGGTAATAAATAGCACAATTTAAATATATTTCTTTTTCACCTGGGTAACCTTGCAATAAAAAAAAAAACCTAGATATTTCTTGCCAATTGTTTTTTTTTCTCCGATCAACTTTGGCCTGTTTTTATGCATTTTATCCAGTCTGTTATTTTCAGAAATCAATAAAAAAAAAAAAATGGTACATGGTAAAAGCCAGAAGGGTGGAGGGTAAAAAGGGTGTCACAGATCAAATGACAGAAACTGGGTGAGGCACGATGACGCTAGAAGGGACAGACTTCATGGAAAATTACCATGCTGTCTTTGTACTTTTTCATTTCTCTCTGTAACCTTCTCAGAATTTTCTGAGAAATCCAAAGTGATATTACCATTACATATATATAAAATGGTAAAGTACAAAAGTAATGGTAAAAGTGGTTAGAAGTGATAATTTTAGTGCGTAAGATATACAGTATGTGGTTCAGAAAGGTACAGTACCAGAATGCATAAAACAATATAGCTCTATATTTTGAATATAGTTGACATTCTGAGGAGACTACCTGAGTTAACACAAGCAGGATATAACAGCTCCATTAAAAACAGTGTATCATTAGATCAGGTTCTCAGGCAAACATACATGCAAATTACTTGGCTTTAAAAATGAACTGTAATTACTTCTTTCCGGAATAGTAATGAAGTAATTTATCTCAATGCAGCTTGTCTGTTACGATTTTGGCCCTCTAATAGTTGAAGCATAAAACTGCTAGTTACTTGCAGAGAAGCATTGTTTTTGTAATTATGCGAGTTGTACTTAGGCCGTTTTACTGAGTGGATGAATCTGATGGTTTGAGGTATACTGGTGTGTACCCATGCCTACATGGGATCATCGACCCCAACCTCAAAATGCATAACCAAAGAAATACGGATATCCTAAAAATATGTCTTACAAGCAGGTAGGTAACACATATATACCTTTCTGCAGACTGTTCCAACCTTGCTTCAACACAGCTGTCAGTTATTTTCCAAGTAACCCTGAAGACCTTAATTAGCTGGTTCAGGTGAGTTTGATGAGCTGAACTCTGCAGGAACAAGTTTGGAGACCTTTGACACAAGCTCTCCTTCAGCTCATGATGCTGTGTTTCTGCTCCAGTAACTGTTATTTATATACCCCTCAACACACTTTACTGTGTTACGTATTAAAATGTCCTTTTGATTCTAATCAGTAGCAGTGCTCTCTAAACATCATAGTGTTCTTACGATAATGCATTGTCATTTTATTTGCATGCATTTAGGTTCACTTCAGAACCCTTTGTGTGTAAACCAAATAAACAATATGTTGAAAATTTGTCTGTTTTAAATGAGAGAAAACGGAGGAAATGTGGAACTGATGCAGTGATACATCTGATCTTGCTTATGCCGAGTTCACACTTCACGATTTTCAAACTCGTCGGATCGCCGTTGTTTTCACACTGCGTGACTATCTGTGGTAGCATTCAGCTGCTGCTGTGTTCACATTGCACGATGGATCGGCGACAGGGGGTTTCACACTGCATCACTTCACAATAGGAAGAATCGCCGACAGCTCTGTCTGGTCAGCAAACTACGTTTCACAACAAAACACACGCGAGAAGTGATAAGGAAATAACGCGAGAACCCGAGTGCGTCAGACCGGAGTTCTCCAGCGAGACTGTAATTATTAATATATATATTATGGATGGATACATCCTGCATATATATGAATATATATATGAAGGATGGAGATGCAGGGAACAGGGATTGGGTGTTCTGCAAAGAGAGTTGGAGGTAAATAATTTTGCAGTAACTGTTATGCTGATGTTGTGGCTGGGGACAGCTCCAGATATTTAGCATGCCAAATATTTTGCGGGCGTCGGCGACGTGTCTGCGATTCCCTCAGAACGCGGCTTTGCGTGAACGAGCACCGATTTGCCTCCGATGTCGGGCATTTGTCGGCGATTTCGCAAAACCTGTCGGCGAGTGAAAAATCGGGCTAAAATCGTGCAGTGTGAACTCGGCATTACTTGTAGTCTTCAGCAATTTTTAAACATTTCATGTTCCATTGGAAAGTCAAATATTTCCATCACCTTTCCCCCTCTTTTCTCTCTCTCTTACTCAATTTCTCATACTTTTTCACTTTGTCCTTGAGTATGTCTTAAAGGAACATCATAGCTTTTCTGTGCTGGAAAGAGAGAAAATATAGTGTGTATCTGCAGAGACAGACTTTATTCTGTATCCGAAGAGATCACCTGTCTATCCAAACTCAGTTAATTAATTTAAATAGTACATATACTAGTACACAAGTTGTCATTCAATTGGGATTCAAAATCATTTGTCATTTGTAATATATTCATGGAGTATCACTTGGTTGAAATCTGGAACTAAAAAAAATTAAGAGAGAAATGATGCCCATTACATAAAGAGATAGAGGAGATTGAGAGGTTGTATGTTCAGTGTTGCTAGCAATGAGGACACTAAGAAAAAATCCACAGCAGTACTTGAATCAAACAATATGCCTCTGTGTTTGTGAGGTATGCTAAATTGCTTTAAATGTCAGTGCTAACAACACAGACCAACGCAGAAAACAGGGTTTCAGGGTGCATTTAGAACATGTCCAAAGCTGTGTTTCATTTAGGATGTTCAGCTAAATGTTTACATTTCTTTGAGAAATGCAGAAACTGTGGACAATTTTTTTTTTCTAGAGAGAATTGGGTTGTACTGCAGTTTCTGAATGGCTGTATTGTTTGCTACACCATACGCAGACTTCAAATCTTGTGTGATATATTAAAAGGAACCATACAGGTGTGGCTGGAAAGCAGTATTCATGAATGTAGTAAACATAAAAAATGTGACTTTCTGGGGTGTAACTGTCATTCAATTTCATACACATAAAAGGACCTTCCTTCCTTCTCACCCCAAACCATATAAAAATGGAACTGTATTCAATGGAGCTTAGATATGATTTACTGAAAATGAGTCTGACATGGGACACACATTCCATCTAGTGGTTTAATTTAGTAACTTCAATTGAGACAAATATTGAACAGAGAACCTGGAACAACCAAGTTCCCTCTCCAGTGTTTCTGTTCTTTCTGTTTTACTTTGTGATTACGGATTGGCTAAATCTAAGCTTCCACCTGTACACTCAGTCACAAACACCATGACTAAAATCCTTGAGAATTAACATCAAGTTCCACCATAGCCTAAACCAACTGCTGAGAAAAACGTTTGCAACGTCATCTGCTAACTGTGATGCTTGTTATGTTGCTGTCAATACTAAGTACAGTGAAGACCAAGAGAAGGAAGCGTTACCTACCACAAGTACAAAGAGTGAGTCTGGTCTTCCCAGACTAAGGCATACTTCCAGTGTTCTGTTATCTGCCCGACATCCAATGAACCTTTACCCTTGGACACAAAACAGCTCTGAAATAAGTTCCAGTATAGGATTTGGAATTGTTTGCATCACCTAACATGAGCGATTTGTAAAGCATGTTAGCAGTTAGTTTGATTTAAGATTTATGTGTTGACGTTGTAAGACTACTTTTAAGACATTGTGACTGTATAAGAAAATACTTTTTTTTTTAGGAATGCTGTGTCGAAAGCAATTAGACAGGAATCTTTGAGACAGCTGATCCTAATTTGGGCAGGAGCATTGCTGGTGTCATTTCTGTGTCAACAAACTCTATTTAAAGTCAAACAGACTTCAAAGGTTCAGTTATAAAATGTGATTTAAAAGTAACAAGTGTGAGGACTGGAGACAAAATAATATTTATAGAAGCCTGTGGGCATAATTTGATTAATTACATATTAATTTCAGTTAAGTCAGTGCGCATTCATTCATATTTAGAGAAATAAATTGAAACTGAATGGAAAAAAATACAAAGTAAGTTTTAAAATGGTACAAAAAGTTTAAAATGGTGCTCTTTGTCATTTGTCAGTTTTCAGAGGAGCCTGAAAGACAGTCTGACTTCAAACTACCTCTTACAGTTCTAATAACTGATTGTATACTTAAAAAAATTGAGTTGTAAGTAAAACAAATATTACTGGAATATGTTTCAAGAGAACATTCAATTTCAGTCTTAGAGGGTTCCTGTATCCATTAGGGACTCCAGTTTTTCTGCAAATGGCTTTGCAGAACCCAAAACACCAATCAACAAATTTAACAGCACATGTACATTGTCAGCTTAACTTGCACACACATGTAGTGGGACATACCTGACCAAAAAAATAAAAAATAAAAAAATCTCACACACAAAGACGTACACAGGTGTCCGGTTACAGTACAGTATACTAATTTACACAATGACATTTTGTCATCAACAGCAAGCTGTTTTCCATCTCGCACACATGAACATACAGGAAAGAGTCCATTTGCTCCCATTTACATATGTCTTATGTTGCAGTGAAGTCTTCATATCATTCCTTTCCCTTCTCAGCATCAAATGTCATTAGCTGAAGCCTAATCACTCTTCCATAGTGCTCTTGTCCCTTTGCTGTCCAACTGGGGTATTTTTAGCTCTGAAACAACTGGGCTCCTAAAAAAGGGTTGGAGGAACACTGCTATGTAAGGTATCCTGCCTGCTCTCTCCCATCCTATTACCAGCACAATCCACCAGCCACTCTTTGTCTGTGGTTAGGAGAGAAGGCAGAGAGTCAAGGGTTTACCTGAAGAAAGCTGAATTTTCAGAAGAAGGGCACGCAAACCCTCGGAAAGAACGGTGGAAGAAGGCCTGGACGGTTTCCACTGTAATTATTTCTGTTATAAACTCTTGACTTATATTCCTATTTGTGACACTTCTAGACCAGAGCTTTCTTAAACCTACTGGAGCTGCATGAAGAGCCACTGTTTCTTTTTGGAAAGGTCTTAAGTCACTAGTATAGACCATGCAGACCACCTGGATCCTGCTGCTTGCCTCTCTGGGCCTCTCTACCCTGGCTGGTGCTGAGAAAGGCCTCGAATTCCCACGTTATGATGGCAAAGATCGTGTCCTGGACATAAATGAGAAGAACTACCGCAAAGCCCTGAAGAAATACGACATGTTGTGCCTGTTCTACCACGCTCCTCTGCCAACTGCAAAAGAGCTGCAGAAACAGCTACAAATGGCTGAATTAGTGCTAGAGGTAAGAGAGGACAAGACAAGAGTGAATGTATGGTGTAAGCTATAAGATTGAATGGACTTCAGAGAGTGTTATTTGGAGCAAAGCAACATGGAATTGCCTATAGATGTACAGTAAACATGAACCCTCTACCGCACGCATTATGATAGACCTATAGAAAAAAATATTTGAAACTTTTTCTTTTCTAAGAATGGCTTAACTTGAAGTGCTGTAAAAAAAATTTGGGAAAAAAATATTATTTTAAGGTACTTTATGATATGTAGCTATAAGATTGAATGGACTTCAGAGAGTTTTATTTGGAGCAAAGCAACATGGAATTGCCTATAGATGTACAGTAAACATGATTAACCCTCTACCGCACGCATTATGATAGACCTATAGAAAAAAATATTTGAAACTTTTTATTTTCTAAGAATGGCTTAACTTGAAGTGCTGTAAAAAAAATTTGGGAAAAAAATATTATTTTAAGGTACTTTATGATATGTTGCCATACGGCAACAGCATACAATAGTGGATCTAACTTAGAATAAGTGTAAGCTTACTCCTAATTAATATTTTTCCTCAGAAATGTTGGTTGTGTTGATTCAATTGGTGCTATTATAAGCTTTTAGACAGTACTTACTGACATTGTGTCAGCCACACAATCCACTCTTGTATTTGTGCTCCAAAACATTCAGGTGCGTGGCAGGCCATGTACAGACATGTGAAAGCATATGCCCAGGAACTGCTCCATCTCTTCAAACGTGACATTCAAGGGCATGGTTGGGTCACACTGGATGGCGTAGAGATTGCTCTGGAACACCATCTCTTCAATGATGTTTCTGCTCAGAAGACACCTGAAGTATTCAATGGGCTCCTTTACATTGCCAGCATGAGGGAGGCTGCCCTTCCATTCCGGAACAGCAGCAGTGCTCCTACGGTAGCTCTCCAGGAGCAGGGTTGGACACCCCTGCGGTAGAGGGTTAAATGTTTTTAAATATATAATTTAAAAGATTTTGTATTTTTTTAATTAAATTTTAATGTAAATGGGTTGCAAGTATGAAATATAATAATAAAAATGAATGTAATATAATATAGGTTCAAATAAATTTTTTGTATGTAATATCAGTACTCTAGAGGCCCACAGGCTGCAGCTGACTGACATGTCTATCTTCACATCTCTTTTTCACTTAAGTATATATCTGGATTAAAAAGTGGACATCATCAGTCACCATGTTAATCAGACACTTTATGTTCAGTGCACCTGATAGCTTCTGAATGTGGGCTCAGGAAACTGGTCCTAGAGTATTGGCTTTTAAAATCCAGCCATTTATACTACTCGCATCATGATGAAAGCAGAACACTGTGGGTATTTATGGAACGAGAACACTTCTAAAATGATTATGTAAGTGTGGCCTCCTTAACTCTAAATTCATGGCTCACAGGTTCACTATCTAGACAACGATGCCAGTGTGACTCAGCGGTACTCCATGTACTACTAATATTCTCTAAAACACGCATACATATATGTATAAACTTAGGTTATATGCATTTTATTAGACTTTAATTTCGTTTATTTTATTTGATTTGACATTTTCCTTGGAGCTTGAGCTAATAGTAAATAAAAAATATGACCAAAAAAAAAAAAAAAACCCCACAGCCGTTACAGTGCTAATCATGATTTGTTTTTCCACAGTTAGCTGCTCAAGTCTTGGAGGAAAAGGATATTGGCTTTGGAATGGTTGACTCCCAAAAAGATGCTAAGGTTGCCAAGAAACTAGGTGAGGTGAAAACTCATATGCAAAACGTCTCAGGTTACTTATGTAACCATGGTTCCCTGAGTAGGGAACGAGACACTGCGTCCTCTAGGGGTTGCTATGGGGAACGCCTCGTCGTGACCCGTGTCTGAAGCATACATTGAAAAAACACCAACTTGTTGGCCGGCGACAGCCATGACGTCACTACCGGTGCGACTATAGTATAAATAGGCGCCGGGAGCACACATCATTCACTTCTTCGTCTGAAGCTTGCGTCCGCAGCATGGCAAGAAACCTAGAGGACGCAACTGATGGCAGATGTGTTGCTTTAATTGTTGTGTTTCAGGTTGCAAAAGAGCTGACTCTGAAGATGAATGAGGTGGACTTCTATGAGCCCTTCATGGAGGAACCAGTCACCATTCCAGACAAACCACACTCAGAGGAAGAGCTGGTGGCCTTCATATCCGAACACAGGAGGTAATCAGTAAAAGCTAATCTAATGATATTCTGAAGGATGGATAAACAGATATTTGATATTGATGTCAAATTCATATTGATGATATCTGTTGACCTCCACAGACCAACTCTAAGAAAGCTCAGGGCAGAAGACATGTTTGAGACCTGGGTGAGCAATATTTTTAAATGAAAATTTTATGGAATTGTATGATTGTTATATTTTATATGACTATCATAATTTATTGCATGGCTTTCTGGAAAACTATTTTGATTGGTCAGTTGCATTATCTAGAGGTCAGATTCCTCCTAATATCATCCATGGCAGTGCTCTATATCAGTCTGCTTAAACATTAACTTAAACTAGAGCTACATTCATGCCCCTCTTATCATACTGCAGACTCACTTTCTTGTTTTATATAAACTTGACTGGCGCCATCTTGCATGTCAGTTATTGATTGCCATAAAAATGGCTCCAGTGGACTTCACTATTAATATTATTATATTATATTACATTGGACTGTTTATATTGTAATTGACTGTTTTTTTTTTCTAATAAGCACCTGGTTTAAGATATCCAGTTATAAAATAATTGAAACCCAAATCAATATTTTATTTCCACATTGCCAGTGCACTCATTTATTGAGTGGTCATGTAATAAGTGGAACAGTGAAAAGTCAGCTTTATTGCAAAATAAAGCCCCATTGCAAAGAAGAGAAATACCTGTGGATATCATAAAGCAATGACACACTGAAATAAAAGTTCTCTTTTGCAGGAGGATGATTTGAATGGAATTCACATTGTAGCCTTTGCAGAAGAAGAGAACCCTGGTATGTACAATTTCAGGGCACCTTCATTCTTTGAAAAGCCAAATGATATTAATTTAGTGTGAGCTGCATCAAAAGGACTTGACCTTGAATATGGTTTTCAGATGGTTTTGAATTCTTGGAGATTTTGAAGGAGGTGGCCAGAGACAACACACACAATCCAGACCTGAGTATTGTGTGGATTGACCCAGACAACTTCCCACTGGTGACTAAAATAAGTCTGGATAGATGCATGACAATATTTTGAGTCAGTAATATTGTAATGTGATGACAAAAACTGGAAGAAAAATCCTTTCTTTGGTTGAACCCCTCTTTATATGCACATTTCCTTTCTTAGCTCATTCCTTACTGGGAGAAGACCTTCAAGGTTGACCTCTTCAGACCACAGATTGGTGTAGTTAATGTTACAGATGTAAGTGCACTACTTTCATTTTTAACCAGATCTGCTGAATTCATTATGAAAGCCCTCTTTCTCATGCTTGGATCTGTCCCACTGTCATGGTCTCTATGACAGGCGGACAGTGTCTGGTTGGAGATACCTGATGATGATGAGCTGCTGTCACCTGAAGAGCTGGAAAACTGGATAGAAGATGTGCTCTCTGGAACAGTGAATACAGAGGATGATGATGACGAAGATGATGATGATGATGATGATGATGAATGATTCATATACTGTGAACCTCAAACAAATCTGCTAAAAAGAACGTTCTTTTAGAGCAAAATCATTTTGTACATTTTGTACACTGCAGAGTTCTCTTAATGTTAAACTGAAATTATACAAGTCAAAGAAGTCTCTTATTTATCTAGGTGAAAATAATTTATTTTATTCACTTCTAAACTGGAAATTGATAAAGGGATTCAAATGAAATACTGCAGTGCAATTTTGTCACTGCATCAGTTATTACTCTCTTGTACATTTTCTACTGTAATCAATCACACAAGACAATAAAACTTTACAACAGGTTTAGGAAGCGTGTTCCTATTTAAACATGTAAGGCCTCATGGGCTTTCATATTAATATGATTTGACACAAATTGGTTGAACAGACTGCTCAGCTAAGCACACCACTCCTTGCAGAGCTTTGCAGTCCTGGATAGAGCAGTTCCCATACCACAATGAGATACGCTGAGTAAGTATGCTTTCTGTGGCCCCTGTACAGAAAGTTTTCAGGATTGCTGTTGAGATCCTGAATTTGCTCCAAGGTATTTAAAGTTATTCACCCTCTCCATGGGGGCCCTGTTATTAATGAGTGGAGAATAGGTCCAGAGCTGTCTCTTCCTTTTTTTTTTTTTGTAATATTATTTTTATTACATTTTCGAGTCGCCTCTTGAACGGGGCTCCGGCACGAGAACCATGGTGGGTGAGTATGATCCATTCTATAAATATATATGTATATATATGTATTTAATGTGCTGGTAGTTATGTGTGTATAATCCTTCTGTGAGATTTCTTTCCGGGACCTGTGCATTTCTGTCCTTTTTAAGGTAGGTCCTCTGTGAGCAACCCTTTGCTGGATTCAGAAACCAGGTGCTTGACTTGCAGTGTTACCTCACTCGTCGATATTGTGTCCAGCTGGTATGATAGCCCTGGTTCCGGCTGTAATACTGTTCAGCCCCCTACAGTTCCAGGACGTTATTTTAAGCTTTATTTCTCTAGACATTGTTATTAATTATATGCAATGTACCACTTTTCTCTATTTAACACTTGCACGTCTCCAAAATACAACTGAATGAACATTTTCTGTGAACTTATAGACCCATTATAAAATACAGCCCCTATAAACAAAGAACAATTGCACATAAAAAGAAAACAGAATTCCCTGGTCTCTTCGACCACCCTTATTCCCTGAATTTAACTTCACTAAGAACAACACGGGTCCACCGACTCACTTCCCGAGGAACCGTTCTTGTTATATTAACCTCTTGCTCTCACTTCCATATTTAAACTTTTTTAAATTTAGCAAAATGTTTACACTGATATGCGAAAAAAAGGAGGGGGTTAAAAATATACATTTTACAGTCTACAGTCTAAAGCAAATAAAGATATAAATGAAAGAAAAAAAAAATACCAGCTATAGATTGAAAGTACTTTGTCCAACTTACTTAGATTCTTTCATTTGTTCTTTTCTGATTCAAAATCATGCCCATTGCAAAACCATGTTTAACAAAAGAAATAAAACATAAGACAAATATAGACTATGTAGTGGGCGTTATCACAGTCTAAAGTGTTTGGCGTTATATTTTAATCCAGTTCGTTACACCAGCGACTCACCACCTTTCTACTTGATTCTACTCCGGTGGTCTGTCCAAAAAGGCTTCAACTTCTCCAGGGTTATCAAAAGTATATGGAGTTCCTTTGAAAGACACCAGGAGCCGTGAAGGGAAGATGAATCTGTAATCCAGACCTTTTGCTCTAAGCTTCTTCTTGACTTCGTTGTAGCGTTGGCGTTTCTTGCTGATCTCGGCTGAGAAATCAGGAAAGAGCATCACTCGCTTGTCTTTGTACATAACCTCCCTTTTCTCTCTGGCCACATTCATTACTCGAACTTTGTCTTTATAATTGAGGAACTTCATTATTAATGGCCTCGGCGGTGCTTTGTCATCTGATCTAACACCTGCAATTCTGTGAGCTCGTTCAATCATCAAAGGAGCTCGAAGCGGTTCCATCCACAGCGCATCAGGAAGCCATTCTTCCAGAAAACCACACGCGTCTCTGCCTTCAGCTTTCTCCGGTAACCCAACAAGCCTTACGTTGGAACGTCTACTGCGATTCTCCAGATCTTCTGTTTTAGCAGATAGCAACTTTATTTTGTCTTCTAACATTTTGGCTGTAGACTGCAGTTTGTTTACTGTGTCCTCGGTCTGAGAAATTCTCTCCTCAGCTTCTGTCAGTCTGACGGAGCAGTCACCTATTTGGTTCATAACATCCGTCAGCATGGATAAGACCATTTCGCCGAAAAATCGGACTTTAATGAGGTTATTGCTTGAAGGATATCATCCAGGTTTGCGGCTTTACTTTGTCGCGATGTCTCAACGTCTGAAGACTCGTCGGCCTCCGAGCTTTGTGTGACACCCGCTAACTTCACCTCCTCATGGTCTTCGGGACTGGAGGGAGCTTCATCCCGATCTGATTTGGAAACTTTCCCTCCTTTATTTTTCGACAATTTAGGTGCCATGTTTATCAGGAATATATAAAGTATCAGCGAAGACGTTCTATTAGTAATTCAAGAGCAATTATCACTGAAATTAGATGTAATTTGAAGTGAAGCGAGATAACGCTACCACTTATCTCGACGCCATAACCGGAAGTCCAGCTGTCTCTTCCTAAAGTCTACACTCAGTTCCTTGGTTTCTTGTTGTTGGAGATGAGGCCCAGAACCACCATATCAACGGCAAATTTGACAACAGAAGTGGAGCTGTGAGAGGACATGCAGTCGTATGTGTAGAGAGAGTATAGCAGGGACTCAGGACACAACCCTGTGGGGCTAGAGTTTGAGGTGAACTGGCCTACTCTCACTGCCTGTGAGGAAGTCATGGACCCAGCTGCAAAGGGTGGTATTCAATCCGAGATCACTGAGTTTGTAGGTCAGCCTGCGGGGTACTATTGTATTGACGCTGAGCTAATAAATAGGAGCCTTGTAGGCCTTTGTTTCTGTGAATGTGGGTAAGAGAAGTGTGCAGGACATAAACAATAGTATCCTCAGTGATGGTAGGCAAACTGAAGAGGGTCTATGGTAATGGGGATGGAGGTGTTTTTGATGAGTCTCTCAAAGACCTTCATAACCAACCAAGAGGAAAAATTAGTATCAACAGCGTCTCATTGTCTTCAAAAATTCCTTAGGAGAAATAAAAGTAGACATAACTGAAACATAAGAAAGTTCTGCGAGAAAGGAGTCCAAAATGAAAATGGGCTGTAAGAAACAAGGGATATCTCTTTATTGTCTTGCTGTAATCTCTTTCCAGACACTATTATAAAAAAGTCTTATTGCTCAGATGTTGCTCTTTCTATCTTTGGTTACATTGGGGATTTTCACCTTTAATGGTCATGGTGCCAACTGGGCGTTGGTTAAGTGAGCTCTGAATAGTATTTTACACTGCATCAAACCATGCCTAGCACATAAGGAAGAGGAGTGTTCCTGGGTCAAGATGTTACGCCATAGATCCTCTGTAATAGTAACTCCTAGGTCGTGCTTCCAAGTATCTTTAAGAGTGTCAGTAGGGTCCACATTAATTTAATTTATTAAATTATAAATGACTGAGATTAAATGCTTATGGTTGATATTCAAATCAAGGAAATGATCAATGTGCGTTTCAGGGGGACGATTAGGAAAGTGAGGGAACTGCTTCTGTATAAAGTGTCTGATTTGGAAAAACCGAAATAAGTGATGACTGGGTAAATTATACTTTTTAGATAAAAAGGAGGAGGCAGCAAAGACTCCCTCTTCATAGAGGTCACTAATCTTGAGAAGACTATTAGATGACCAAACACAAAATACAGGGTCTGAACTGGATGGGGGAAAAAATAATTGTCAAAGATTCGCACCGCGGGAACCTTTTCATAGTACCAGAACTAATTGTGGAACTACCCACTTTTTGACGTTTTCGCACCGCCGGAACTGGGTGCGATTTTAGTACCGGACTGCCTTTTTCGAGAACCAAATTAGCTCCTACTCCGGAGCAGGGTCTAACCAGCACAACTGGTACTACCCGTGACGTAAGTAGACATTGATTGGTCAAACGAATACGAAAACGCCCTCATACGCCCGTGTACGAAAACGCTATGATTTAAAACGCCGTGTAAACATACTGTAAACATTGTGTCAACTTATTTCGCAAGTATGGAGAACAGCGATAGATGGCCGGACGCTGAAGTGCAGGCACTTGTAGCAAATGTAGCACTGCCAGTTGTCGTTGGAGATTCTTAGTCCTCCTTTCCGTTCTTTCAATCGCTTTACGTATACGTCGACATTCCATGTCCATTATTGTGAAACCCGCAAGACACAACAAAAACACAGCTCCGATCACAGCGTCCTCCATCCTCCTGTTGTTAACGTTGTTCTTCTTTGTTTCCGTTGTTGAACGCTGCGCACAAATGATGTCGCTGTCGACCGGCTTACATCACTTCCTAGTACACACTGTCGGTGCAAATGCAACCCTTTTAATGGTACTGGGAAATAGTTCGCGCAAAATCGCCAGGAAAAACTCAGGAACTTTCTAGAACAAAATGGCGCAGCTCAGCCACAGCACACACTGACTGTGTCTCAAAAGAAAAGTGCTTCCCAAAAGCAAAACTGATCATAAGCGATGGACAGTCTCGACAAAAATGCAAAATACTATCAGAAAAAATTAAACACTCTGTGAAAAAACTAACTTCCAGTTCACACAGTATACACATTCTTGCGCACTTAAATGATGCGCAGGAAGAAATCAACGTCTCTCAATCTAAAGCACAGTTCATAAATGACTCTGGAAAGCAAATCTCTCAAAAGTGCAAACAGTTCAAATGACACAAAAACAACAGTGTTCAGAACGAAACTCATGTCTCCAGCAACTCTGTTGTGCTCTCAGCCAGTCTCTCATACCGTTCTCTGTTCAATGACGCAATCAGCTGAACTTCTGCAACAACTCTGTCTCCAGTCTCACACAATGGCATTAAATGTTCACTGAACTCGCAAAAACGCAAATTAACTGTGTATTACTATCTTCTTTCACGATTTCCACTGCAAATTCTTTCACGATTTCCACTGCAAAACTATCGATCTCTCACACAGCAATCATGGCGCATCTCTCTCGTAAAAAAACTGCTCTCTTCTTCTCCCCAGACATCTTTGCATCTCCCGCGGACATGCCAAAAGTCCTTCTCTCAGGCGAACAGGACGATTTGGCACCCCCAGCCCGAGCTGTGGGCTCTGCACCTCTGGGCTCTTGACGGGAACCAGCAGATCTTCCCGAGAGTGTCCTAAATACTATTTCACAGGCTATGCCCTTAAATGATCTGTCTTCTCCGCCTGGTGCACAACCAGCGGCAAAGACTCGACTTCCTGTGACATATTGGTGATATTGTCCTTCCTACAAGCACTGTTGGATAAGGGCCATTCCCCTTCCATGCTTAAGGTCTATGTGGTAGCTATAGCAGCTTTCCATGCTCCTGTGATGGAAATATTTTATGTAATGGCCTCAGAAGGAGTCAAAAGGGTGTGTTCAACATAGAATGTTCAGAAAAGTGCAGACTAAGAATGCTCAGATCAAAGACCGTGTCCCTATGATTAAATAATCTATACTTACCTAAAAAGTTCTTAAAACAGTAGAACTAACAGTCATATGACAAACCAATGACCAAATCAGTATAACCAATTACAGTGAAGAAGACTTGAGTGACATTGTGTGGCGAGGGGGGCGTGGGAAGGCGAAAGGCTGCAGCGGGAGAAAGGGTTTGGAGACGAGCGGTGATAAGGAGGTCAAGTGAATAATGATTAACACCTGTTTGTAATTCCAGTGATTGGGGGAGAGACGAGAGATAAGCGCCCGCAGACCTGGGAGAGGGAGAGCCGAGAGAGAGAGAGTCGGAGCAGTGTGCGTGTGTGTTTGTGACTGTATGCAAGTCTGTGGAGGCAGAGAGCCGAGCAGCACTTTATTTTTTGTTCTATTTTGTTTTGGGGGAAAATAAAGAGGTTTACCCGCCACCCCTGACTTCCTCGTCCTTCTTCCGAACTTACAAACATATTACACTGGTGCCGAAACCCGGGACGAGGAAGCCGGCACTCCGCCATGCAGCCAGCTCAGCCAACGCCGCTTGCGGAGCTCGTGAAATCGCTCGCCGGGCTTCACCAAACCCAACATCAGGCGCTGATGGACCTCAAACTGGAGCAGGAGGATCGGTTCCGCCTGTTGGTCTAGGCGCAGGATGAGGACCGGCGGGTCCTCCAGAGCTTGCTTGGCCGGGAGGTCGCCCCAGTAGCGGCCCCCTCCATCGCCCATGTCCCGCTGATGAAGATTGGTTCACAGGATGACCCGGAGGCGTTCGTGGACCTCTTCGAGAGAACAGCGGAGGCGTGCGGCTGGGCGCGCACCCAATGGCCGGGGCGCCTGATCCCGCTGCTGACTGGGGAAGCACAGGTGGCAGCCCAACAGCTGCCTGTTGCGAACCTCCTGGCCTACGATGATCTTAAGCGGGCCATCCTTCAACGAGTCAGCCGTACCCCCGAACAACATCGGCAACGCTTCCGGTCAAGGAAGCTGGGGGACAGCGGCCGGCCATTCGTGATGGCCCAACAGCTCTGGGACGCTTCCATGCTGCCGTTCCATCGCCGCCTTTCTCCTCTCTCTGCCAATCGCTTGGCCATCCTTCTGCCGCTGGGGCGGCGGGAAGGCCTGGGCCAGCCTGCTGGAGATGCGGGGACCCGGGTCATTTTTTGGACCGGTGTCCAATGATGGACGTGGGAGCGTTGATCCGGATCCCCGACTCCCCGGCGGCTGCCCCCGATCAAGCCGGGCAGTACCAAATACCTGTGAGTATCGAGGGGGGTACTTATCAGGCTTTGGTGGATTCAGGCTGTAACCAAACCTCCATTCATCAAAGCCTGATGCAACGAAGGGTGTTGGATACGAGCTGCAAGGTTAAGGTGAGGTGTGTGCACGGGGATGTGGTGGACTACCCGTTAGTGGCTGTTAGTATTCAGTTTCGGGGGAAAACGCATAGAATGAAGGTGGCGGTTAATTCCCACCTTAGGCATCCGCTGATTTTGGGGACAGATTGGCCAGCTTTTACGCAATTATTGGGGGTTTTGTGTGCGGATGCTTCTTGGGAGACAGGGCTGGGAAACGGAGAAGCGGTGGTGCAGGCTGGGGATGCGGTTTCGGGACATTCACAGGCTGACTCAGAGGAAACGAGAGCGAGGGCGGAGCTTATATCCCCTGAGCTAGATGACTTTCCGCTGGAGCAGTCTCGTGATGAGACGCTTAAAAATGCGTATGACCGGGTCCGCACCATCGACGGACAGCTTCTCCAGCCTGACCAACCTCTCTCGTATCCTTATTTTTCCCTTATAAAAGATAGGTTGTATCGGGTGACCCAAGATACCCACGAGAACATCCGCCAGTGGTGTGCGGGCTGTCGTGAATGTCAGCTGGTAAATCCTCCGGCCAGTTCTAAAGCGCCATTGCGTCCATTACCACTGATAGAGGTCCCCTTCGAGAGAATTGGTATGGACCTCATCGGGCCATTAGAATGTTCAGCACGCGGGCATCGTTTTGCATTAGTTCTGGTGGACTATGCAACACGATACCTGGAGGCAGTGCCGCTGCGCACCATCTCTGCAAAGAATGTGGCGGACACACTGTTTCGAGTCATCTCCCGAGTGGGGATCCCCAAAGAGATTCTCACTGATCAGGGCACGGCGTTTATGTCACGTACGTTAAGCGAACTATACGAACTCCTGGGCATTAAATCAATTCGCACCAGTGTCTATCACCCACAAACAGACGGCTTGGTGGAACGATTTAATCGCACGTTTGTTAAGGAAGATGCCAAAAATTGGGATAAATGGCTCGAGCCCCTGTTGTTCGCGGTGCGGGAGGTTCCACAAGTCTCCACGGGGTTTTCCCCATTCGAGCTTCTCTATGCTCGTCAGCCCCGCGGGGTGCTTGACGTCATTAGAGAGGCTTGGGAGGAGGGGCCTTCAAACAGCCGTAGTGAAATTCAGTATGTCCTGGACCTCCGAGCAAAACTCCACACTCTGGGGCGGCTGTCAATGGAGAATTTGCTCCAGGCGCAGGACAGACAAAGTCGGCTGTACAACAGGGGTACGCGAGCGCGGCAATTTACACCGGGAGCCTCGGGCTGAGGTAACAGCATACAGCTGAGAAGGGCGGTAAGATGCTTATGTGTGATTGAGGTAGTGATAGTAGCTTCTTGACGGGACAGCCTCACCATACTTCAGGGAAGTATTGGATTATATTGTAAGTATTCAAGGAATTCAGGGAATTAGCTCGATACTGTAGTTCTTTGTATTGTATTGTAAGTATTCGGGGAATTCAGGGAATTAGCCCGAGATACTGTAGTTATTATTTTAACAACTGTAGTTGTTTGAGTTGTCCGTGGTGAAGTCAGATTAGCATTGAAAATTTCCACGACACTCCAATAGCCGGACAGTCGGTGGGCAGGAACAACTTAGTTGTTCGCTTTCTGAAGGGATCCAGGAGGCTCAATCCGCCTCTGCCCCTCACCGTCCCTACATGTGATCTGCCCACAGTCCTGAGAGCCCTTAAGGATTCCCCCTCTGAGCCGCTACAATCAGCAGACCTAAGAACCCAGTTGTTAAAAACCACTCTGCTACTGGCGTTAGTTTGTAATTTGATGCAAAGGTGATATAATACAAAGTATCGTGTAATAAATGTACATTCATTTAAAAAAAAAATCAAAATATAAAAAACGTTTTTTTTTATAGGATGGAGGATTTACGAATCGATGCTGATGACCATTGAAAGGCGTCATCACAGTCTTGTGAAAAGGGTCCTTTATAGCTTCATATTTTTATTCTTTTTATATTTCTTTCATATAAACTTTTTAGAAATATACTGTACATTTAGTGAACAGCGCCCGTTTAAGAATTTGGTTCTAATGTCAGGTTTGATCAGTTAATTACAATAGTAAAATAATCTGATCTTGTGTAGTACTCTTTTCTGGTGTTGTGTATTTAATAAACTGCATGCACAGAGAAGTGTGTCTCAAAACCACACATTTAATACTGAACACATAACAGCTCGTATATTTTAATATGTATTGATATTAATCAAATTTTTCTTATTTTATCTATACCTGAGAATTGCATTACAGTTGCAAAATACCAATTTTCTTTTTGTATCTTCATAGTAAAACAAACTAACTAACAAGCACATCACTTAATGCCTAGTGCCACTCTACAAACCATATTCTCACAACAATATTACACATCATTTTGATTAAACACCACAACACACAAGCTTTTCTTTAATGCTTTTATTGATTTGAGGAGTGTTTCAGTATTGAGAAGAGATTAAAGTTGAGAACGTTTTGTAAAGATAAGTTCAGAAAATGTAAATATAGTGCAGTCAAAGTTACTGTGGAGCAGGATGACTGCGAATGATCTCACAGGTTTATAGCACAAATATAGCCCATTGGGGTTGAACAGGCTATATCATTCCAGCAACGGTTAGCTGTAGGGTGGAAAATGAAGCAAGTTATTCTGATCATTATAGTGGTGTTAGAAAATGAGCCAATCTATGTTACTATTTGTTGTGAAATTTTAGGATGGTAAATATTAAATAAATAAATAAAAATGCACTGCATTCTTACCGGAGAAGTTGACCTCTCCACAGTTCTCGACATTTCGGTTGTTAGGCTCATAAGAGCACCAGTAGGTGTAGTCATATGGAGTTCCATCACTCCACATCCACTGTTCTTCCTAAAATGCAAAGACAGTGATTATAGGAGTGCCCTTCTGTACTCAGACTCCATATAGAATGTCATTTAGTTTGGCTTTGAAGAAGTTAAACCATCTTCACTTCTGTCTACAAACAAATAAGTCTCTTTAGGCCACACAACTTAACTTACTTGTTCACCATCATGAACACCAAGCCAACAAAGTGTGGAAGAAGAAGGCAACAGACTCAGCAGAAAATCGTTTTCCAGTTTATTGTGCACAGATGCGAGATTTGCATCCAGACCTAGACAGTTTCTCTAAAGAGAAACATTTTTTTTATTATAAATAAAAAACATGAATGTAAATTACTGCAAAAATGTAAATTACTTATTAAACAACATTTGAAGTCATTTTCAAACAAAATATGCTCTGAATAATTATTTGCTCAGTATGAGTTTTCTAAAAAAGGAAAAAGTAAAAGGTAAAAGTTTTTCTTTAAAAATAATAAAAACACCTTGTTATAACTAACACTTTACCTCTGCTGTGATCCAGTTAACTGACTGAGAGAAGAACTTGTAGCATCGGACTCCAAAGTTTGTCCATCCATAAGGGCATTTTTGAACTATATCAACTGCATCCATTACATAAATGTTAGTCTTGTAATATTAACATCATTTCTTGTATTATGCAAATACTGGTCAATAGAATACTGTATAGTTCCTGCTAATCCTCTCCATAAAGTTACAAAATGCCAAAGGTTTGGCAGAACAACCTTTTAAAATGGCATAAAGAGAGGGTTTATACAAATAAATGTCTTGGTTACCATCTGCATTCCCCATGGAGAACACAATGAAAAGAAGCAGCAGACTTCTTAGCATTGTCATGATGAACCTGAAAATTAATAAGCAGCAAAAGTCAATTGTCTGTATTCATATTCTGCACACACTGTATTCTCAATGTATTTTAAAGACATTAAGTTGTTCAGTAGGTTTCTGTGCTAAAACTCACCTTGGTTTTCAACTTGTTGCTTTCAGAATCTCAGAGGAAGATTTTGTGAAGTTCCAGAAAGAGCCCTGCTTTTATACTTTACTCAGTGTCAACTCTGCCTAAGTCATGAGGATGACACAGGATGTGATTGTTTAATCTGTGGACTTTTGTACACATACAATAAAATTCAAATGTGAGAGAATGGGTTAAGATGAACCTGTCTAAACATACAATATCAGCTTAACTAAATATTTATTTTTAATAAGTATTTGAAATGAATATAGTTAAGTTAAATATAAGGGAAATTTCTCCCTGTAAGATCATTTGAAGGACAAGGAGACAAAGAAGTCATTTTCTTCTATATAATCTTTTTAGAAACATTCAGTGCTTTTTATGAACAGTTGGTATTTAAGACTTTTGTTCTAATGTCAGGCTTGATCTAGAAAGATCAAGATAATTTTTTTTACTTTGCTATTTTCACACTCATCTGATGACATGTGTGCTGACAAAATTAAATAAAAAGTAAAATATAAAATAGGTATTCACATACAAGGACTTGCTGCTTAACCACTGAAGCACTGGGGAAATTAGCTAGCTAGCCATAACTATTTCCCGAAACCACAACATGATCTATGGAGGACGAAACCTGCAAAAACAACAAATAAATAAATACACAAATAAATAAATAAATGTGTGCATAAATACACATATTCTTGTTTAAATACATAAATAAATAATTATACATGTGATGAAAGTAGGCAAATAAATAAAATAAATTGGTGGGCAAATGGAAAATATTTAAGGAAATGCTAAACTCATCCTATTTATTTTCCTTTGATCACTCATTTATTTCTGAATGTAGTTCCACATTTATTTTTCCTCTGCGCAACATGCTAAGGAGAGTGTCAACCCTCCTTCCTCTGACAGGAAATGCATGGTGTTAATCCAGTATGGCCTACGTAAAGTCACTTTTTCCGTTCAACAGAGCAAAATACATAAAAAACTGAGCTGTATTGTCCGTACAGTATCTGTGACTTTACAAATGACCCAAAGAAATGGCCAGTGTCGTTTCCTGACATAATTTTTTGTAACCCGATTGAGTCTCCAGCTAGAGACAACTGTAATATCAGTATCCCATGGTCATCGTGAGATGACTGGTATGAAGTGGTTTAATCGAGGAACAGACAGTTTTTTCCCATTAGTTATCAGAACAGAAAATACAGGCGACAAAAGTATGTTTATTAAGCAAATAACGGTTCAGTATTGCAATTAAGAGCCATGTAAGCATTAATATTTTACATTGGCCACTTAAAATCTTTTATGATTTAGCTCTCTCATGATTATAACTACAAAACTAACCCTATGAAAAAGTGTAAGATAATAATCAGTCACCTTGACTGATGAAGTTAATACGCATGCGCAGGCAAACGCTCAAGCGCGTCACACACGATCCGCCTACTCTTGCATAATTGACACCCTCTCATTAGCATGTTGCACAGAGGGGGAAAAAAATGTGGAACTACATTCAGAAATAAATGAGTGAACAAAGGAAAATAAATAGGATGAGTTTAGCATTTCCTTAAACATTTTCCATTTGCCCACCAATTTATTTTATTT